CTTTCTATGGGTCTAAGAAAAATTGCAGGGTTTCGTCCAGCGCTTTATAAGCCTGGCGGCCCGCCAGGCTAAGCGTCATGCCCCACCCCCTCCCCGACCCTACAGTGTCCGCCGACACGAACGGCGCAACGAAACCAGAGCCCTCCATGAGCTGATACTGGTGAGAAACAGCAGCGGAACGTGTGCAACCAGGTGGTGTCCTCCTCCTCACAAACCTCATCCCGTTTTTGTTTTAGTGAGTAATGTTTAAATGCATTTATATGTTCTTCTGTTCTCGCTCTGTAGAATTTTATCTGGTTGTATTTTTTTCTCGTTTTCTACATTTTCTTTTGTAGATTTTCAGCTTAATGAGATCCAAAACCAATGAATTTGACAAGAATGTTCCTTTCCACAATAATCTTGATATTTTCATAATCAAGCAGCCTCACTAGGTAAATACTTTCACTTTAGATCGTCTTTGAGTTGAAAAGGTCAAAGGTCAATATCATTGGTTTGCTGACGGTTTGTCAGGCAATAGATCAAGTTTACAGAAGCTAAACGTGCCTCACAAATCTAAAACCAATCAGGAACTTCACGTCACGAGTAAAGAGGCAAGAAGCAACTTCAAACGTGCATCTGGAGAGCAGCAGTCTCATGAATCAGCTCATACATTCATCTGCTTTGCAAGTTCATTTAAGCAGCAGCAAACAAACCCAGCTTTGGTCCTTCTGCATGAGTCTGTTTACTAGCTGCCTTGCTCCGAGTCTTCCCAAAGCTTCCAGCTAAAGCTAGTAAAATGTTGTTGTGAATAAACTAAAAGCTTTGCTCAGTGACTGAACCCTCGCCACTAACACTATACCCACCGGGCCCTTCACAGCCAACATCATACCACCACAACAACCTAAATGGTGTGAATTAATACTTTATTCAAGTCATAATTGGATGTCCAAAAGTGTTCTGTCCTAAAACTTTGTGCCTTGTTTAGATTTTATTATAGCTGGTGTGCTTTTTAGTTCAGTTCACCTTCCTTTATGAATCACAGAGATCCAGTTTCCTTCACTGTAATCTTTAGTGTTTATTTAGCAGGAAATGATCCAACATTATTCCCTGGAGATTGGTAATGTGTTTGAAAAAAGGCAGAAAGGGCCCCTTGACCTTTTCATGCCGTCAAACGTTCCAGCTTCGATTCAACTACGACTACAGCAGCGGTGTTTAGGAAATGAGTATTACTCCTCAGAGATAAACGTGTGTGTGTGTGCGTGTGTGTGTGTGCGTGTGTGTGTGTGTGTGTGTGTGTGTGTGTGTGTGTGTGTGTGTGTGTGTGTGTGTGTGTGTGTGTGTGTGTGTGTGTGTGTTCAGTTCCTGTTATCTGTAACTGACACGCTTGTTTCCTCCTGTGTTTTACTGTGTCTATGTGCAATAGTTGGTGTGGCGTTTTCATGTTGATGCAAGGAAGTTGGCTCGATTTATGCTTGTTTTACATTGTTGTTTAGAGACTATTTGATTTTAAAAGTTTTCATCTTTATGTTTTTTTCTTACTCAAACATCAAAAGGATGGAAGGAAAAGGAAAACAAATCATTAAATGAAAGGTCCCTACTCCTATTTTTAATCAGGCGCGTTGGGGCATCGTCGTGGTCTCTGCAGCTAATAGAAGCCACTCTAGTCTACGTTGTTGCGTCTCTCCACTAAAGCTGCTCAGTTTCTGTTTTTAATGCACCACACTTTATAATTCCTAATGCTGCACAGTTACCATAGGGTTAAACATGAAATCACACATGGTGTCAGTGTAAAGCATCTGGTAGATTTAAAAGACAAATGTTTATTTGTGATTCCTTAAAGAGCAAGTTCACTCAGTGGTCTCTAGAATGCTCTCACAGCCCTGTTTCAGGAAGTGGAAGTTAGTCATAGAAGAGGGGAGCAGAAAATGGCAGGATCTGGATTCTTACTCCTTATTCCTGATATACAGGTAACTCGTCTCTGGCGAACAGCAACGCGACTCTACCAAGGACTCTTTTTACTTTGCACTAGGGGCGAGCAATATGGGGGGAAAAAATCACAATTTATTTGTTGCTAAATCGCGATTTTCTTTCCATTTCAACATTTCAGACATTTTGGAATTTTTTTTTTACCAGTAAAATACATCAATTTAAAAGCACACCACTTCACACAATATATGATAAACTATGCCAGAATCCTAAAAAATATCTCAAATTTCCAAACTCTGTCTGGCTCAGTGAAGTTACGTTTTTGTATTATGTATTTATAATTAGTGTAAAATGTTTATTCTATCTCGAGGTGGCTCATATCCTGTCATCCACAATATTATCAGTAATTATATCCATAGACATTCCCTGACTGTGTGGGGGTGGGGTTTGGCCAGTCTTTCTACACAAGCAGGATAAACAAAACTAAAACACGAACGAACGTCCCCAAATAATAAAATCCACGAAGCCAAATGCAAAGTTTAGAGTAGAACATTTACTGTGAGGTTTCCTGATTGAGCAGTCATGTGAGAATACATGTAATGACTGCTTAAAGACTATGCAAGCTAGTAGCTAGTGCTAGCAGCTATCCGCTATAAGTGAGTATGGTTGCTTTGGCAAAGATTCATAATCGTTTATGTCCGCATCTTCATGCATCGATTATTTCATTATTTTCCTCAGCTTCACTGAGCACCCCAGCTAAACAAAACAGCACACTGCCTACAACTTGTTCTGATTGGTTCATTGATGTGTCTGTCATGCCGACAGCTGTGGCAAAAGAAAACAATCTTTTATACAGAGCATCTCAAGATGATGGTCATTAGGCACTTCCCAAATGTATACAAATGTACACAAAATATTTCTAAATATTATTAAAAATATGTTAACAATGAGAAAATTTTTCAATTGTGATTAAAAAATATGTAAGGAAAAGGAGAGAGAAAATTCATAGGAAAGGGGGAAATAGGTGGATCCCAGAAAAGGCGGGATAAAAGCAGAATAGAGAGTGGTGATGAAGGTCACAAAAGCCATCCTGAACAAGTGAGTCTTCAGCTGCTTTTTAAAGGAGACCACTGAGTCCACTGATCTCAGGCTCAGGGGGAGAGAGTTCCAGAGTCTGGGGGCCACAGCAGCAAATGATCTGTCACCTTTGGTCTTTAGCCTGGTGCTGCACAACCAGTAGGCTTTGGTCACTGGACCTCAGGGACCTGCTGGGGGTGTAGGGACTAAGAAGATCACCAATGTAAGATGGTGCTTGTCCATGTAAGGCCCTATAGACCAGAACCAGGATCTTGAAATGAACCCTGAAGTTGACTGGCAGCCAGTGAAGCTGGAGGAGAAGCAGGGTGATGTGGGTGTGTTTGGAGGACTTGGTCAGAAGCCAAGCACAGGCGTTCTGAACCACCTGTAGACGGTTCAGGGAGGTTCTGCTCAGACACGTGAAAAGAGAGTTACAGTAGTCTAAGCGTGAGGAGATGAAGGTGTGGAGAACTGTCTCAAGTTCAGAGTGGGACAGAATGGGACTCAGCTTAGCAACGTTCCTGAGATGGAAGAAGGAAGAGCGAACAAGAGAACTGACATGAGAATCCAGGGTGAGAGCTGGGTCAAAGGTCACATCAAGATTCCTGACAGAAGGTTTGGTGTGAGAAGCAAGCTGACCAAGAGAGTCTCTGACTTTGGGAACCAGCAACCATTGGTTGAAAAAATGTGAACCTTAATGGACTGCTTATATCAGAGATTTTTGATGCAGTCCGATATAATCCGATACACTGTTTTTGGGCCAATATCAAATTACTTTCGACATCGATATCGGAACGGGACATCCCTAACTTAAATTTGGTGCCCTAAAGAGAAGGAAGCCCCTCTAGGATCGCTGATCAACATGCAGAGCTGAAGCACAGCAGAGAGGGAGGAGGAAGAGCAAATTTAAAATAAATAAATAAATATAACATTTGTGACTTAGACAGAATAACGACATATAAAATACATAATAATTATTTTTGGGCTGCTCAATTAATCGAATTTTAATCCCAATTACCATCTGAGTTTTGAACGATTATAAAAATAAAACAAGCTGATTATTTGCTCCTCCCACTTGCGCTGCCCGAGTTGCAAATGAAGCGCTCCTCCCACAGCTGTGGTTGGGACAATTATTACATTAACTGACGGATCTGTAAATAAATAGTTTATAAATAAGGTATAAATAAGTTCCTCACGCTGATAAATAATAACTAACCTCTCTGAGGACACGGTGCTAGTGCACTCTCCTACAGCACCTTGACACGACTCAATAAATGTTATGCAACATTTTGTGAACATCAATTTATTTGCATTTATTTGTTATAAATGCCACTGCATAATTCTTGCTGTCAGTATTTGCAAGATATTGGTATTTGGGTCTGTACTGGTTAGACTTAAATGAGTTAAACCAAGCAGTGGCGTGTCCAGATCTTTTAAAATGGGGTGGCCCAGGTGAGGCACAACTTTGTGCATGGGTGGCACCAATGGTTATGCTTTTCTTTTTGTTTTACCCCCAAGCCTTTTGTGGACAATGAAAAGCCTATTTAAAGTTAAATTAGTGTGGTGGTACCTGGGGTGGCCAATCAGATTCCAAGGGTGGCATGTGCTACCCCAGACCACTCCCTGGACACGCCCCTGAAACCAAGGTCTATAGCCCTTGGGTCATAAACTATGAGCTATAAGTGTATTGATCTTTTTATACTGGGAATCAGGAGTTATTTTAGTGATCATCTTGTTTCTTATTTATTTTTGTCCTGATTGTGCCCTGAGCAATTTTATGACGGAATAAAAACAAATAAAATCAACATAAATTGAAAAATCATATTAAATAATCGAGATCTCAATTTCAGTCACCATAATCGTGATTATTATTTTTGCCATAATCGAGCAGCCCTAATTATGATGCTAATAACTGTCCTGAAGGCATTTCTCTAAAAACTAATTTAGTGTTATATCACAATAATTTTCCATCAAAGGAAACACTTTTAAGACAACATGTTTCCGTTTCCTCTCCTCAGAGTTCTCACGTGGATCCAGAGGAGCTGTTCACCAAACTGGATCGAATTGGAAAAGGGTCTTTTGGAGAAGTGGGTCCATTTTCATCTTTGTTTTGTCTCAGACATTCCATTCCTTCGTGATCCTAACTTTTTATCTACCTCCAACAGGTGTTCAAAGGCATCGATAATCGCTCTCAGAGTGTTGTCGCCATCAAGACGATCGACCTGGAGGAGGCGGAAGATGAGATCGAGGACATCCAGCAGGAGATCACCGTGCTCAGTCAGTGTGACAGCCCATACATCACCAAATACTTTGGCTCCTACCTGAAGGTGAGAAAAGACATAGTTCAGGCTGATCCGAGTCTCGTCGGTGACGAAGGTGTGAAACAGTTAACAGAGAGCAGCCGTAGTTAGTGTCTGCTGCTGGTTTCCAGCATCTGCTTATCGTTTTCCTTTTGCTGCATTTGCTGTAACTTATTAACACAAATGGTTTTCTTGTTCAGGGCAGTAAACTATGGATCATCATGGAGTATCTGGGTGGTGGTTCAGCGCTGGATTTGGTGAGCGAGCTGGATTTATCTATTCAGTCTGTCTGCAGACAGTTTTTAACACTAAAACAACCTTCAGGTTGAGTTTTATGCTAAGTAGATGCAGTTTAGTAAAAAAAAATTAAATGTCCTCACACTTAATCTTGTATCATCTAAAATATCTGAGACACGATGTTCTCTGATGACAAACCTGAGCTTTTATGTTGCATTTTATCAGCCAGTAAAGTCCAGCAATGGTGCTACAATGTTTTGCCCCGTTAGGTTGGTTTATGCTTGACGCGTCCGCGAGGTCCGCACCGCTCCGCGCGGAAAAGTTGCGTCATTTTGCGTCATTTTAACAACCACGCCCCTCCACCGCGCCTCCGCACGGCCCAGAATTTCCGCAACGCGCACGTCGGAAAATTTCTAACCACGCGGACAGACGGACGCGGAAAAACATGGCGGACCGGCAAGAACTACTACGGCAGAGGTTCGTAAATACAGACATTTGTATGATTCAGCTCTCAAAGATCACCGTGATCAACATGTTGTTAATAATTCTTGGAGAGAAATAGCTCGCAAGTCGGAAAAGACGAGGACGCTGTTAAAAAATGCTGGAATGCCATGTTGTAAACAGTAATTTCTACTTCTACTATGGTGTAGTGTTGGATGCATGCCGTAGAGCTCCATGCTGCCCCCTACAGTTTGGGAGAATATTGGTTCACCGCAGAGACGAGCCGCACGAACCATTAACGCTGCAAGTTGTGAAGCACATTCCATCCGCGAGCCGCATCACCTCGCGGAAAGTGAATGCGTCAAGCATAAACCAAGCTTAACAGCATGCGTGACTTAGAGTTGTGCTTGTCATGAATCCTCTTACACCTCAGTGACAAAAAAGAGGTTTTGTTTTTCTCCCCACCAAACATACAAAATGTCACACTCGGATTTTGGATCTTTAGCCCCAAGTTTTAAACATCAGGTCAGAGATTTGGGTGTCATTTTTGTTGTTGTGTTGTGTTGAATTTTGACAAGCAGATTGACTCAGTCATCAAGACTAGCTTCTTTCAGCTCAGTTTTAGCTAACGTAAAACCGTCTTAAGTCACTGTGACCTGGAAAGAGCCAAGCAGGCTTTTAGCAGCTCCCGTCTGGATTGGTGCAATGCTCTGTAAACGAGCCTAGCACACAAAACTAGTCCAAAACGCAGCTGCACGTCTGCTCACCAACATCCCTAGGTGGCAACACGTCGCTCCTGTCCTCTCATCACTTCATTGGCTCTCTGTTAGCTTCAGAATTGACTTCAAGGTTGGACTGTTTCTGGTGTTCGTGGGCTCGCACCATCCTACATCTGTGACAGGCTCTCATTACAATAGCAGGGCAGAGAAACGAGACCCTCTGCTAAATTTTATCTACATGTTCTGAGATCTGAATGCAGACAGCGAGATGATCGCCAAGGCTCCCTCGTGCCAGCTTGACCTACGCATGATTACTGATGTCACTTTCTTAAAGTCTGGATTAAAGATGCCTCTTTCACATGATTTTTCAAAATCCTGGGGGTGTTATCTGTGTTGAATCCCAATTTTTGCATTTTAACCGGTTATATTTGGGCTGCATGGTGGCACAGTGGTTAGCACTGTTGCCTCGCAGCACGAAGGTCGCAGGTTCAAAACTCGCCTTTCTGCGTGGAGTTGCGTGTTCTCCCCATGCATGCGTGGGTTTTCTCCGGGTACTCCGGTTTCCCCCACAGATCACAACATGCTCTATAGGTTAAAAAAAAATAATAAAAATTGTAAGTCGCTTTGGGTAAAAGCGTCTGCTAAGAACATAAACAACAAACAACATATATTTGTCGTCTTAAAATGGCGTTCATTTTGTATAACTTTTATAGTAGTTCTAAATTGTTTTACATTGGTTCTGATTTTTACTTTTTATCATGGTTCTTAATTATTTTAATGTCACTTTTACTTTCTTTCTTTCCATATTAAATGTTAACCCTTTAAGCAACAAAGTCGCGATGTTGTGACGAGCCACAGCTACAAATGCGATCCCTGATGAAGTTACTACTTTACACCAGAAGATAGTGGAGATGTTATTAGTGCAGCACCAGCTCCAAACATTGGGTTTGAAGTTTGTTTCACCGTGTTTGGGACATGGTGGATGTAGAAATGATGGTTAAAAACATCGCTAACGTGACAGACGTAGCGGCAATGTAAAAAAAATTTAAAAAGCCGTAAAAAGGCAGCAGATGCGTTCGTTATGTACGGAAGCCAAAGTGTGGCAAATAATCATAAAAATATTTTTCCTTTGGATCAAATGATCATTATATTCGTGGGAAGGACGTCCCTGAGGCTGCACAATCCCAAAGAAACCTGACAAATATGACTAAACGCATTCCTCTAGAGTGAGCCCAATATAAATATAAAAAAATACAATATAAAAAAACAATGCAATTCAAATTTCAAGAGCTTTTATATACATGTATATAAATTCGAAATGTCAAATTATGATGAAAATGTCTAAATAACCTGAAAAAATGAGGAACATCTGTAAAAATGATGCATTCCAATATGGCAGCCTGGTGATGTCATTATGCGCAAATTAGATGAGCGAATTTGCTCCCAACACAAATTTTGGGTCCTACTGAAGATTTTTCTCATTTACAGTTTACCTTTATCTTTAACCATTTCCAAGCTACAACCTTTTGAAACAGTCATGTCAAAATTTTACATTTTCTTGAAAGAAATCTGGCGCCCAAAGGGTTAAACCTTTGGTGGCCCTCTGGGTAGTGTAAAGCGCTATATAAATAAACATTAATCGATTGATTAATTCATAGTCTTATTTAAAATTAATCTGATTCTGAATGAACCTGATCACCTGGTGTGTGTGTGTGTGTGTGTGTGTGTGTGTGTGTGTGTGTGTGTGTGTGTGTGTGTGTGTGCGTGCGTGCGTGCGTGCGTGCGTGCGTGCGTGCGTGCGTGTGTGTGTGCGCGTGCGTGTGTGCGCGCAGCTGAAGGCGGGACCATTTGAAGAGTCTCAGATTGCCACCATGCTGAAGGAGATCCTAAAGGGTCTCGACTACCTGCACTCTGAGAAGAAGATCCACAGAGACATCAAAGGTTAGACTTCAAAATAAGATCCTTCAAAATAAGATCCTTCAAAATAAAATAATAATAATTTAACTAAAATTAAGTCGAGAAGCTGCAGAGATCCAAACTTTTAGTGCTTGGTGTTGATGAAGCCCAGAATCATTTAGTGTTCCTTGTCATCATCCAGTTTACAGTGTAAGTTGTGAAAATATTCATTTTTGGTCAATTTGTTTTGTTTGATTTCATTTAAAATTTCTTGCTAAAATTAGTTTAACAAAATAAACTCTTTAGACATTCCTTTACCACATTTTAAAAGTTTTGTTTTTACCCATTGAAAGGCAAACTCCTGCTTTGAAGTAAAACTATTTATTTTAAATGTATTTCTGGAAACACCTAGTTTAGTCTATGAACTTTGACCTTTTACATTCCTGGTAAACCACTCTGACAGCAGCACCACATTCAACCGTTTTAGTTGCAGATCCGTTTAAAAGATCTTTTTTCTGTTAAAAATCTTTCTTAAATGTTTAACCTCCACACCAAGACAAAAAAAAAAAAAACTTACCACCTTATAATTTTAGTTAATGATGTGAAACTAATAAATGTTCTCTTCTCATGTTAAATATTTGAATAATGATGACATTAAAATATTAAAAGAAATGAATCTAATAATAATGTAGGGTAATAACTTTATCTAATACCCTATGGCCCATGAGTCCACCACATATGTGGACGTTAGTTTATCCTCCTCATCTTAGGCATTTTTTTGTTATTTAGAGATACTTGATATTGACTCTAAATCTAAAAATATTTTCTTTTTCTTTCTTTTATTTTGGGAAGTTTGTCGGAACGTTTATTGTTCTTATTTATGACTAATCTGTAGCTTCAGCAGCACGTTTAGAAGACTTACTGAGTAAAATATGCTCTACAAAGTAGTCCATCAGCCAATAAATGTTGCGCTGTTTTATCAGTAAAGAGTAACTTATTGGTGATGTTTTTCTTACGTTTGGACAAACTTTCTGATAGCTGGATTATAGTTTGATATTAAAAATAAAAGTTGATTATTGTCAACAGCCGCCAATGTCCTGCTTTCGGAGCATGGCGCCGTGAAGCTGGCTGACTTCGGAGTGGCTGGTCAGCTGACAGACACACAAATCAAGAGGGAAACCTTCGTGGGAACGCCATTCTGGATGGCGCCTGAGGTCATCCAGCAGTCAGCTTACGACTCAAAGGTCAGTCACCTGTTTACCTTGGTAACCTTCATGCCTTATTCTCTAGCTCCAACATAGCTGAGACCAAAAGGTGAAATTTTTCTTTGCTTTCTAGATTTTATTTTCTTGCATTTTACTCCAAAAATTGAATTGAACCCACAGATTAGTTCTATTAAAAGTAAATCAGAATCAGAATAGGTTTATTGCCATTGTCAGTGAGCAAACAATTCACAAACTAGGAACTTGCTTCGGTACTAATGTGCTACATATAACATGAATAATAAGATTAAAAATAGAATAAATTAGAATAAAAATAATAATAAAAAACTAGAATAAAACTTTCAGCTATAAAAAAATGGCAGGTAATGTTAACATGGCCGATAACGTGACGTTAAAAATGGTTCTTGTGTCCTCTGGTCTTTTAAAAAGCTTCAGATCTGCTGTGGAAATTGATTTATTGCATGAACTGTTGTGTGCAAAAACTACATGAAACTTATATTATTTTAGTGTCTAAAAGCAGAAGCTGTTTTTAGTTACGTCTGTTTTAGAAATGACGTCTCATCTCGCCTAGACCAAACCACCTCACAGAGCTTCTGTTAGTCAACATGAGGAAGCTAATTTTAGCCAGTAATGCAGATCCGAATCTCAATCATTTTGTCTGCATGCTGGTTTGTTCAGAAACGTATCGCGTACGCAGACGACGCCCCACTGTATCTGAAAACCCACATTTCTCTGTTATTAAATCTTGACTGACACAGAAACTTTTGTTTTTAACTGGCTAATAAGGTCCAAGGCAGGTCTAAAAACAGCTTTGACCCTAGTTCGAGTTCCTTGTTGCTGTGCTACGAGGTTTGCATATTTCTGAGGCAACCTAAACTGCGTGGATCAACGCGACTCTGAGCTCGTTTGCATTATTTCCGAAGCGCTCCCGGTTTTATTTGCATATGATGAAAAGGCCTGTCCAGCCATCTGGTTGTGTTTGATGCTTTGTGCAGCAGACGACGACATGATGAGGTTTCAGGTTTGCTGGGATTCCCTCATCAGGCTCTTTGTTGGAGTACTAAAAGTGAAGCCAGCTGCCTCACACACAAAAGCCATGGTTTCCAGGTGGTGAATGCTGACTGTTGAGGTAGATTTCTGTGTTTATGAACGCTCCAGCCTGCACCAAACATACAAAGACTGAATAACAAAGTAAATAAAGGTACAAAGGAATTACACAACAGGGTGACGTGTGCAGAGCCCCGTCCATTTGGGCGTGTCTTCATGTGGTCTGACTTATCCGTGGTTTTCAGACCGATGGGCTTTTTAGATGTCTTTTTGTAACTTTAAGTTACTGAAAACTCCTTAAAGAGCAAGTCACCCCCAAATCTACATTTTTTTGCTCATAAACTATATATATATGAGTCTCTAATCATGCTGTAGTCAGTAATTTGGCACTTTAGTGCATCTTAGTTCAAATTTAAATATTCTGGCTAAAACTGTCGGTGTCTGCACCCTCTTCAGGTAACAACTTTGCACTGCATTTGAATTTAAATCTGCCATTGCTGTTGGCTAAGAGGTACACTATGACATTAGATGGTACATTATGAGCATTTGTTGCATTTTTCAAACAGGGAGTGGAGTAAGACTCTGGTAGGGGGTGACTTGCTCTATAAAGTGAGTGTGTATCTGTAAATGTCATCTAGCTATGTGTTTCATGGATTCAGGAATCCCATAATCAGTAATACTTCAACAGGAAGTATCTGAGCTGAAAGATGCATAAAGGTGAGTCGGGATGGTTTTCTTGTTGAGTTCATAAAGAAAACAAAGACGGACTGCAGCTTGTTGAATTAGCTGACAGTTTGCCACAACCTCGTAACCCAAGCAGTCAGAACAAGTTTACAAAGAGGAAGTAAATCTGCTGCTGCTCAAATGACAGTTGGTCTGAGTTCATGATGCTGGACCTCGTGTTAGATTCGGAGGTTCAGTTGATGAAAATTATGACATCTGTGTGATTTAACATGGTGGAAAAAAGCATTTTACCAAACTGATGCTTCAGCTTAGTTCAGAGAATCGCCTAATTCTTCTTTATCTGAGTTGTTAAAAAGGTAAAAACATTGTTTGTTTTGCTTTTTCCAACCAAAGAGTGAAAAATGAGTTTTAAACGGTTCAGCAAAGGCGGTACAGCTTAGGACCAGCCCAAAGTGGAGGTCTGAGTGGGCTGTCATGGCTCAAAGGGAAAGGATTGTATTGGTTAGGCTAACGCTAACTCACCGCCTCTCTTTAGATCCAATCAGATCCCTCACCTTGATTAATAAAGTTAAAGTTCAAACCCGCTTAGGTGGGAAATTCTACCATTCTGGTCAGGAAAGGGTTATGCTGAAGAAAGAGCTTGAATTGGGGGTTAAATCTGAAACGTGTCTAGTTGGTAGGCTGGATTTTAATCCCCATTTTGACTCAAACAAAGTAGGTTGTTGATCTAAGGTTTAGTGGGACTTATTTCACCAGTCTGATGTCCACATCCATGTCTACCACTGGTCAATCATTGGTTTCATTTGGTTTGGACCTCTAACCAGATGCTCCAGGTTCTAGAACATGAAATAAATAGTTGAATCTCACTTTAGTGGGTTCAGATTGGATTGTACCTTTAGTAAAGAATCCACAGTGAAAAGTGTGTTTTTCTTTTTATGGTAAAGGGTCTGTATTGGTATGGCGCCTTCTTAGAGTTCTACAACCCCCCAAGGCGCTTCACAACACAATCAGTCACACACACATTCACATGCTGGTGGGGATGAGCTTCGATGTAGCTACAGCTGGGGCACACTGACAGAGGCGAGGCTGCTGAACACAGGCCCCACCGGTCCCTCCGACCACCACCAGTAGGCAAAGAGGATTAAGTGTCTTGCCCAAGGACACAACAGCAGAGTTCTCTGGTCGAAGCCGGGATCGAACCTGCAACCTTCAGATTACCGGACAATCCCCTCTACCGTCTGAGCTACTGGTTTTAGAAAAAAAAGCCGCCAATTTGCCGCAACGCCTAGCCGGCATCAGGGAGCCTTAGGTGGTTTATAAGTGGTCAGACCGTTGGCGATAATGTGGCACAATCGTGTCCTTTTTACAAAAGTTTAGGTGATGGCGGTATAAAGAGGTATGGGGGTGGCCATAAGTTAATTTTTACTGTGATCAAAGCTATGCTCGTTTTTTTTTTTTTGACATGCTGCTCCTAAAAGTGTCTGTCCTCCACAGTCCCCATGAATGGTCAGGTGATCTGACCACCAGCTCTAATGGAGAGCAGCTCCTGAAGTTCTGCATCGCTCCAGTTTATCATCTTAGCTGGTTCTGTTTACAAAAGATAAACTTACCGCCTGTGTTTACTTTCAGTTTTACTAAAGCTGCCGGCCGGAGCTCGACAGTAACTACCCAGGTGATCATGACACCTCCCTGTGTTGCACCTAGGTGTAATGTGCACCTACAAGTCAATATTACGACCATACGTTGTGTGTGTGTGTGTGTGTGTGGGGGGGGGGGGGGGGGGGGGACCACATCCTGCCATATGGGTGGTTTGCATCAGTAATGGAGCTGACCGAGTTCACAGTTGAACAGTAACCGATCGTCCCGTTGTAACGCAACCCTGAAACGCTTGGCTGTGTGTGTGTGTGTGTGTTCTTCACCTGAATGCCAGATGACTGTTGCAGTCATGGAGAAGATGTGACATCCAACCGGTTTGCACGTTTACATGAGCTTGTGTGTGTTTTCTCACTTAGGCTGACATATGTTTAGTGTGTGTTGAGATGTCTCTCTCACACACACACACACACAGTTGATATTTTACAACATTTTTTAAACCGGACTGTTTTGATGTCAGTTAGGAAACAAAAATGTATTTTATTTTCCACGTGGATCAGCTGAAACCCTAAATCGATGTTTTACATCGTAAGAACACACACTGCCTGCCACACACTAATATTTTGTTTTGTTTGATTACGACACACATTCTCTGAGGTGTTGTTTCGATAAGCTTCTGCAATGTCACGAGTTATTTCCATCAGGAGTTGCATTCATGTCTCACCAAGATCTTGCACTGATGATGGTAGAGTCTGACCGCTGCACAAAGCTTTTCCCAGCACATCCCAAAGATTCTCAATGGGGTTTAGGTCTGGACTCTGTGGTGGCCAATCCATGTGTGAAAATGACGTCTCATGCTCCCTGAACCACTCTTTCACTATCTGAACCCGATGAATCCTGGCATTGTCATCTTGGAACAAGCCCGTGCCATCAGTGAAGATGGAATAACCTGGTCATTCAGGATATTCAGGTAGTCAGCTGAGCTCATTCTTGGAGCACATCCTGTTGCTGAACTTAGACCTGACCAACTGCAGCAACCCCAGATCATAGCACTGCCCCCACAGGCTTGTACAGTAGGCACTAGGCATGATGGGTGCATTACTTCAACTGCCTCTCTTCTTACCCTGATGCACCATCACTCTGGAACAGGGTCCATCTGGACTCATCAGACCGGTTTTTAATAATACGTTGGACAGCTCTTAACCCAGTTTTAGTCGTTTCTCTGATCTCATTAGATGTTTTCTCTGATTGATGCATGCCAATGATATGACCCTTCTCACACAGACTAGCATCTTCGCCACGACCACCAGACGTGTCCTTCATGGTTGTTTAAGAAATGAGAAGCTACTCATTGCACCAGTTGGGTTAAATAACTTGGTGCAGCTGCAGTAATTGCCCAATAGGAAACTCCTACTTTGGTTCAATCCAGGTGACTTGTTTTGAACAGGCAATGTGTGATGAAGCAGGACCTGAAGTTTTGTTTGTTTGTTTGTTTAATTAACAGACGCTTTTCTCCAAACTGACCTAACGTGCATGTTTTTGCTCCGTGGGAGGAAACCCACAGATGTACCAGCTGCTCCGCCATGCTGCTCACTGTGACAAACCCAAAACCTACAGATGATAAAATCATACATGATTTATTTATTGGACTCTAAGCTCATCATTAGATTTATATTTTTCCTGAATTAGGATTATTTACTCTGGGACCATTTTATTACCTTTAAAATAAAAACAGGTTCCCATGATCAACCACTACGAAAAGCTGTTTTGTTGTATATGAATCATTTTTCAGACATTAACTCTTTCATTAACACTTCGCCATGTCTCAGAATAAGATCAGAATCATCAAACCACCTCTGGATTTGTGGAGTTCTAAATAAAACATTAAAGTTGTCTTTAAGCTGAACCCAACAGAATTGTGTGGTTTTTTTCTGTCCCCCGGCAGGCGGACATCTGGTCTCTGGGCATCACCGCCATTGAGCTCGCCAAAGGTGAACCTCCCAACTCCGACATGCATCCGATGCGAGTCCTCTTCCACATTCCCAAATCTCCTCCTCCGACGCTAATCGGAGACTTCTCCAAGAGCTTTAAAGAGTTCACAGAGGCCTGCCTCAACAAGGACCCGTCCTTTGTAAGACCAACTAGTCAACTTTGTTTTCTGAGCTTCTGAAGCGAGGCTTCTGTCTTCAGCTGATATGATTTTATGCTGATGTTCCAGATGTTCTCGTTATTCAGCTTTACTAGTTAAGCCCCGCCCCTTTTATGCCAGATATATTCACCTGTTTGCAGAAAGATGTAGAGTTAAGTAATTCTGTTAAACAGTCGTTTAAAATAAAATTTCAATAAAAACAGCAGCTTTATTGGGTATGCTGTCAGTGTTATTGTTGTTGTTTTGTTTTGTTTACTAAGGTATTTTATTAGTCAGGCTTTTAAGGACTTTTTGGGCTCAGATTGTTCATTTTTCTGCTACTTCCTTGGGTTTTATGACATTTGACACAGTGATGTGTTGCTGCCACCTAGTGGACTCACCAGCATTTTCTTTCCCCATTTTCTGAAAAATTTGTTTATCTAATAGCTCATTTTTATACATAAATGTAAAAAAAAGTTTCAAATGATGAACTTTTCCACTTTCCACGGTGTTTGAAGAGTTTATGCGTCAGTCTCAGTAAACCTGTGTCCTGTCTCACAGCGTCCCACAGCCAAGGAGCTGCTCAAACACAAATTCATCGTGAGAAACTGCAAGAGGACGTCTTACCTCAGCGAGCTGATCGACAGGTACAGGAGGTGGAAGGAGGAGGGGCACAGCGACAGCAGCTCCGACTCAGACAGGTGAGTTTTTAAATGTGTGTTCGTTTGGGTTGGAAGATGTCCGTGTGCGTTAAACAGTAAGACTTGTATTCTTGTGTGAAGTGAGCATGATAAAGAAAACAACGAGAGTCCTGAGTGGTCGTTCACCACCGTCCGTAAGAAGAAACCAGAGGGCAGGAAGGTCCTCAACGGAACGGTTAGTGCATTCTGAAGAAAGGAGCTCTGTTTGTTTGTTTGTTTGTTTGTTTTAAATCAGACTTTTAACAGAGAGCAAAGTTATTTCTGGTGTCATCTATTTTATCTCTACAAAATTATGAATTTAAATGTTCCTCTGATTGTTTTTTGTATTTTCGATAAACCTACAGATGTTTTACTAAACATTAAAGCAGAGTGTAGAACTCCAGATGTGTTCATGATGATGATGATGATGATGAATTTACTAAAGTTTCTCTTTTTTTCTGCTGCTGATGTGAAACAGGCTCAGGCTCAGCTGAGTAAATCTGCCAGTCTGACCACAGTCATGTCTCCTGTCTTCACTGAGGTGTGTAGACACAAACACATACACACACGCATTAAATTCCTATTATCCTTCCTATCTTTATTATTCCTTATTTTTACCTATGTTTTTAATGTTTTGGGTGGTTTTCCCAGATTTAAGTGGTTGTTTCGGTAAAGTTCTAATTCCACCTCTTCTGTAGTTGAAGCAGCAGCACAAGGAGCACTCTGAGCAGCGATTGGCTATTGAAGAGCTAGAACGCAACATCCGATTGGCTGAAGAGGTGTGTCCGGGCATCACGGACCAGATGGTTGCTCACATCATTGCCAGGTACCAGAATATATTGATTTAACTTTTATTTGGTGAACTCATTTAAAGTTATTTACACAAATTAACAGAGACTAATTAAAACAAATGGACTCATTAGCAGCAACAAAAATGGCTAAACAAAATAACCTCTACTCGGCAAACCACTAATCGGTGAACCGCTTGGACAAAGAGCACAGATTGGCTAAAAGAGATTAAGACAAAGGCGGTCTAGGAGACAACAGAACAGAGACTACATCTCCAGGCTGTTGCTTGGTCTAGGAGTTTTGATTCTCGCTTTGGGTGCGAGAGGTCCCGGGTTCATATCCCGGATGAGCCCCCAATTATGTTATGACCCTTCTAGGAGTGGCCAGGCCGTAACATACTCGGTGGGCCTACAAAAGAAATGAACCAACTGATGACCAAACTAACCTCCCTGACAAATAAAAACAGAAGAAAACTGGGTTAAAATTTAAGGCCAGATTACCCCTCCTCAGCCTAAAAGGTTTTCACAGATCACCACCCATTAGTTTTTATCTTTCAGATGCAAAACTTCAACCAATATTTAATGAGGTGGAATTTGTTTCTGCAGGATTTTATCTTGCAGATTAGATGTGAGAAGGGTAAGGACAACGTTCTGGCAGACGCCTTGTCGAGAGCTGTGTAAATGGTGAGAATAGAATAGACTTCATAAATCCCACAGTGGGGAAATACATTTGCTGCAGCATCACATACATTTGGAGAAAAAGAAGAAAAATAGTTACAAAATTACAGGTAAACACACAAAAGCTATAAGTTATTATTGTAACATTCAACCACTAAAAACAACAAATAAAAAAAACTTGGGTTTCCAAACCTGTGCAGCATAAGGGACACAGATATACTAATGTACATCTGGTATTGCACAAATGCAAACATGTTCACATACGTGTGTGTTTTAGTAGAATGAAACCGTTTTCTCCTGTATTGGTTAGTCAGGGAAGTATGTTTGGTTGTCATTTGGTTCATTTCTTTTGTAGGTCTGCTGGGTGATTTAAGTTAGAGGTGTTTTGTTTATTTTAGGACCATGGTTCACCCTGAGCTTTTAGTTACCTGAGCCCTTGCCCTTAGTTAAATGATTGAGTCCTTAGTTTATCTGTAAATATTGTAAATAAATCTTTGTAAGTAGTCCTTCAGGTGTGGTTGCTTGGAATCTGCAGTGAATGGTAAACCAAACCATTGTTACGGCCCAGCTGCCCCTAGATCAATCAATCAATCAATCAAATTTTATTTCTAAAGAGCTTTTCAAACAAACACTTTTGGCCTCGCGTGGAGCTGAGTTGATATCATCTCGTCATGCTTTCTCCTGAACTCTGGTTTATTTCAGATACACGACAAACTGAAGGACAGTTTAAAAGGAAAGTAGGAAGAGATGGTCTTCATATGGGGGCACTGCTGGATGAAGAAAACAGGAGATTTGCTGTGCGATGTCTCCTCTCTCGACACACACACACACACACACACTAGCATTGTAATATATACACTATATTTTATAGCCTCACTGCTGCTGTTTGAGGATTCCCCCCTCCCCACAGGTTTAGTTTGAAACTAAATTTTTAAATAAAATGGTCTGGATGATTGAAAATACCATAATGTGCCTTACTTTATTTTTATACCTTTTTTCCCTCTTATTTTGTACATTTTTGTCCAATCCACACCAGAAAGTCTGACCCAGCAGTCCGTCAGCAGCAGTAGCCTCCGTTTAGTTTGATGTAAATGTTTGTACGTTTGTTCAGCAGCACTTGAGTCAGATCATATGCCAATGTGAGTTCTCAGTAACAGTTTTTAATTATAGCCCCCCCACACATCGGTTTCTGTAAAGGTCCAGTCGCCCCTCCCAGTGATCTTTAAATCACTGGAGATGACTCAGCGTTTTTATAGATCTCTGACAGTTCAAATAGGAAAAATGAAAACTGTAAAAACGTGAGAATTTCAACAGTTTTATGTAAAAGTTCTTTTCCAGGTAGAGTAATTCATTTCTGACTCGTTTTGAGGAGCTAACAGGAACTAGCCAGGCTAAGCAGCTAGCAAGCTAACTAGCTATTTTAACCTTCCAACCTAAAGATGCTTGTTCCACTTGTTAGGCGGAAACATTTGGCTTTGCTTTAGGTTGTTGACTAATTTAACTGTGAACTTTTTATTACTGTCTAGCTTTTCTTCAGAAGCTTTTTGGTAATTGTGGAATTAAACAACCTTTTAGCAAAACACGAATGTCTCCTAAAGCCTCACGTGCAGGGACGGCCCAGTCTACATCAGGTTTGGCAAGCAACCTTGGTTTTACGTCGTCCAAAGGGTGAAGTTTGAAAAATCACTCGTTATTTTTTATTGTACCGGGGTTTTCCGAGTGAATCCTGGGAGCTGTAATTAAACATGTTACTGATGGTTTGTACCAAAGACACTATACGATTTGGTCATTGTATATTGTTTTGTCTTTTTATATATATATCATAAGGGATTCGACTTGTTTAAGGGGGAATTGTACAATGACAGATGTTAACAGATGTAAGATTTAACAGAACTGTACTTTTTTGTAGCTGGACTTGGAGTTTTATGAATAAATATTTAAATTTGGTTGACAAACTTTTTGTTTTTTGCCTGATAAGTTTTTTCTAGAGTAAGGTGACACTAACGGTCCAAAGTTTTTACAGTACATCTTAGCAGCTGGTACCCCCACCAGATACGCTCCTCACCCAAAACTAATATCTTCTCAGTCACAAACCTTGGTGTGAGATTAGACCCTCACCTGACCTTAGAGCATCACATCAAACATCTGTGCAAACGTCTCCTTTTATGTGAATTTGGGACGATGGTTTAAAGCAGGGGTGGGGAACCCTGGTCCATCGAGGGCCACTATCCAGCAAATTTTAGTTTCAACCCTGCGTCATCACACCTGATTTCAATCAGCAGGTGATTAACAAGCTTCTGCAGAACTTGATGAGCTGCTGAACAGGTGAGTCAACCACTGAATCAGAAGTGTTGGAGCAAAGACATGCAGGATACCAGCCTTCGAGGACCAGGGCTCCCAACTCCTGGTTTAAAGGGTTAAAGTTGAACATCTCTACCTAACCTCCATGACTAATGTAGTCTGTTCTACAGCCTTTACTGAATATATACTATTTCTTTGAAATAATATTGCATGTTTATTGTAAAACAAGGTAACAATGCATTAATTAGGGGGCAGCAGTAGCTCAACAGGTTGAGCGGGTCGTCCAGTAATCGGAAGGTTGCAGGTTCGATCCCGGCTCCGGACAGAGAATTCTGCTGTTGTGTCCTTGGGCAAGACACTTAACCCACCTTGCCTGCTGGCGGTGGTCGGAGGGACCGGTGGTGCCTGTGCTCGGCAGCCTCGCCTCTGTCAGTGCGCCCCAGGGCAGCTGTGGCTACATCGTAGCTCACCACCATCAGTGTGTGAATGTGTGTGTGAATGGAGGAATGATACACTGTAGTGTAAAGCGCTTTGGAGTCCTTTCTCTGAGAGACGCTATACAAGTGCAGGTCATTATCATTTAATGTTACACTTTAAAACAGTTCACATATCCAACATTTATCACATTTATTGTCATTTACAGTTTGAGTTGATGAGTCACCCTGCACACGTTGATCGAGTTTTATTTAAAGAGTGACTTGGGTAATCTTTGCGGCTCCCTTTGTTTCATCCCCCCCTTCACTAGTTTCTGTCTTGTTCTGGTCACGTTTTAAGTCTGTTTTAGGCTCTTCCTCCTCTCTCTCTTCCTCCTCATCCAGTTGAAGGCTTCCAGAGGAAAACCTCATCCTGGCCAGTCCGGCGGACCGTGCCACATTCCTCAGTTGATGAGGTGGGCAGTAATATGGGTAGAAGACCTCTGGGTCGGAGTCGCTGTAGCTCCCTGTGCTCCTGCTGATCATACACATTGAGGTGGGTCGTTCGGGCAGGGGGGAGGAGTTCAGGGGGAGGTAAGTGGGTCTGGAGGGCCGTGTCAGGTGAGGGTAGTAACCGAGAGGTCGAAACTCAGAGGCAGGGTTAAAAGTTGGGTTTGAACTCCTTGAGAGGTGGAACTTGACATCTGGCTGCCTCGCCTCACGTCGAGGCAGCCCAGGGAGGAAGTTTGAGTCGTCGCTGTAATGCCCCGCCTCCGTGTGTCCGGCACCTAAAAACCTGGCTCCATTGCTTCCAGCCTGGTAGACCCTTGCCAGTCCCAGTCCACCTGAACCACATGGGCGGAAGTTCCTCCTGATGGGCGAGATGGATGGTGAGTCTTGGCCCAGTGGGTAGAAGGCAGGCCGTGAGACGCTGTCTATCGGGAAATAGTCCCTCCTCCCCACAGATGGGAAACGCTCCAGTGAAGAAATGGCAACATAATCCGTCAAGTAAGGGTGTCTGTTCAGTGGTGGGGGGGCAGTAAATGGGAATGATGGGAGGACAGGGTGATACTGGCGCCCAGGACTGTTGGGGTAGAGAAGAACCAGCTGCTGGGGCTCATCTGGGTACGGCTGTGGGTTTGGTCTGCGTCGTGAGCGGTTGGCGTAGACACCGGCTAACCTTTGGGCCTGGCGCTGAGTGCCGTTACGTCCCCCCCTCGTGTCCTCCATCATGGATGTGGAAGCAGATCGAAACTTTGACCAGGGGGTGGACTGGTGAAGGGAAGGAGAGAGAGGAGTGACTTGAGCGAGGGGGTGTGGTCTTTGGCTGACATGACAAGATGACTGGCTAAGTTTAGCCCCTCGTCCATCAAGTTCAACGTCACTTAGACCTCGGCGATGTTGATCCATTTCATCCTGGCTGTGAACGGCCAGACTGCGACTCGAGCGGGGATGCGGGTGAGATTGTTCGTACATCTGAGGAGGTGAGACACAACGTTAGCGTTCGGCGTTACACATCTGATGAGTCTGCCGTGTGTAATGATTACCTGCTTGGATACGTCGGTGAGGAGATCAGGAGAAGATCGATACTGTCTGGAGTCAAAATCCGCCTGATCGTAGCTTCTAGACAGACACAGAGGGATAAGAGCCAAATCCGTCTCTGCATGTTTGTATGGTGTGCTACGATAACATCAGTGCTTCACCTTTCATAGCATAAAGGTCTCTTTTCTCCTGAGCCCATGCACTCCAATAGCTGTTTCTGGGTCCTGCCACTGCCCCACAGAACAAATGGTAAGAAGAAAATCATACTGTCAACTGTGTGTGTGTGTGTGTGTGTGTGTGTGTGTGTGTGTGTGTGTGTGTGTGTGTGTGTGTGTGTGTGTGCGTGTGTGTGTGTGTGCGTGCGTGCGTGCGTGCGTGCGTGCGTGCGTGCGTGCGTGCGTGCGTGCGTGTGTGTGTGTGTGCGTGCGTGCGTGCGTGCGTGCGTGTGTGTGTGTGTGTGTGCGTGCGTGCGTGCGTGCGTGCGTGCGTGCGTGCGTGCGTGTGCCCTACCTGTATCTAAATGTAGAGCCTTTACATGACAGCAGTGTTTTATGGATGGGCTTTGGCTCCTCTGCCAGTTTGAAGAAAGCGTGGTACTCCACACACGTCTTCCAGAACGACTTGCAAACATCTCGACTGGCCATGGCGAACTCCAGAGTGTCCTTGCACGATGGCTGGATAGACGGGACATAAGACTTCACACGTCTACACCATCCATGTACACGTACCACCTTCACTTGTCTTTTTCTCTCATTTATGAAAAGAAAGCAAAGTAAGATTTTCATGGTATGGTTTTACATGCTTTTATGTGATTATTTAATTATGAAATTAAGATAAATAGTTTTTAATTAAATCATCTAAAGAATTTTTTTTATGTTTGAGTACATGGAGACGGTGGGATCGCCATTATAAGGTAAGCCACTAGGGGGCGTTGTGGTTCCCTTCAGCTGGATGAAGTAGACCAGGGGTGTCAAACTCAAACTCACACGGGGCCGAAATGAAACTCTGGGACGGAGTCGAGGGCCAAACTTAATATTTTTTGAAAAAGTGACGGCAAATTTGCACATTTTCTTTATCAACATATATGCAATTTTGAACTTTTAAATTTGGAAACAAACTTATTTCTGCATTAACACTGAATGTGGAATAACCAAATTACACACGAGCAAGTCAGTTTTAAATAAAAGGCATCAGTGGTATTCATTACTTGTGGTATAATCAGCATTTTTAAAATCTATTCAGGATTTATGTTTTCTTGTTTATTCATTTTTCTTATTTTTATTCTCCTTTTTTTCTGCTGTAATAAGTGTCATCGCTGCTGTGACGTCTAGCTTTCCCCACTGAGGAACAATAAAGGGATTTTCTATTCTATTCATCTATCTGCAGCCTTTCCACTTCCTGTTTACTGTAGGTTAAATCTTTTCTCACGGGCCAACAACAAAATAAAAATATCATTTTATCTTAAATGAAAATGCAACATCTCACCTGTTAACTTTCATGTTTTGGAGCAGAAAAAGAGCATAAAACCAACATATTTAAAGCTCAGTTTGCTCCACTGGTTTACTGTGATGCTCACCTGTTCCAGCCAGATACCTGCATCATGGGGCTGATCTGAGCTGAGGAGGAGACTCCTGTTGTTTTGTTCATCTTCATCATAATAATGACAACATTAGATGACAACAGGTGCTCACATAGGTTTGTGCTGATGAACATGTCTGAGCAGCTTGACCGCGTTGTTGTGTGTCGGGGAGGAAACACAACGACAGAGCCGTGCTGGTTTGAGCGTGTCGCTGTTCGCTGGAGTTATATCAGCTCTGTCTGGACGTTAGTTGGAAAACTTTCTCTTTCAGTCATGAACACATTACTGAGCGGCTAGAATCTCCGTTTCTGGGCTTCAACGTCAGAAAATAGCTGAGTGAACTCGTCGCTGAGTGAGAGGAGTGTTTAGTTTGTCCGAGACAGCGGAGATGCAGACACCGGCAGCAGGCACTGGAAAAAACACAAAGGAGGGTGCGAGTCGGCTCCGCGCTGATGCCGCAAAGCATCATGGGAGTTGATGTCTTTGCGGTAAAATCGGCCAGCGGGCCAGTTTTAATATATTTTTGATATTTATCTCTCGGGCCACATAAAAATGCTCCGCGGGCCACATGCGGCCCGCGGGCCTTGTGTCTGACATATGTGAAATAGACAGTGAGCTATCGTTGATTTTATTATGTAATTCTTGAGGTTGTCCACAAGAGGGCAGTAGACACACATGGTGCTGAACACAGCGGGGTTAAGATGAGGGCATTATGTTGGTAAACTGTACACTTCCTCACAGATGCAGTTAATACCAGTTACAAAATGAGTGGTCATAATGTTTTGGCTCATTCATTGGAGTTGTGGCAAAAAGTGTTCTCACCCCAACTGTGTCGTAGAGTTTTATCAGGAAGTGTTTGCGTTTGAAGCTGAGTTTACGGATCTTGGCCCAGCTGAAGGTGTTGATCTTGGTGTTTCCCTGAAAAACAGAAGTAATAAATATGGCAGCATGTGGGTAGTATGAAAGGAAAAATCAAGCACACACCTGGAAGACCAGTACTCCAGAGTGTGTGACAGCCAGGTTGATCCTCATTCCCTCCCCGTCATGAGCAGCGTGAGGCCTGATGCCGTACATGTCCAGTTTCCGGGCGACCTCTAAGAGCTGGATGTCCGAGTCAGCTGGAGACACCCCTCTGTGGGAGATAGAGATCAGCAGATCTGTACGCAGCACAGATTAGCTCTTAACAAGCAGGGTTATAGCTCGGTAGAGCGTGTGTTAGTCCACGTATCCTATTAAAACACAGACTGAACCAAAGTAAAACGAGGACCCGATAAGTGGATAAATGGAGGATGACGGATGGATGAGATCAGGTACCAGTAGGAGACACCTACTTGTGTCTCTTGTGAAGCTTGATGATTTTGTGGTCCAGGTATTCCTGGTTGGGGACGTAGTGTTTCATCTCCAAATGTTGATAGTCCAGCTCCTCGTCATAGTCCCCTAGCTCTGCTGCAACACACACACACACACACACACACCTAGATTTTAGCATACATATACTTAAGTAGTCAGAGTGAAATTGTGCTCCAACTTTGATCAAAGCAGCCGTCTGTATTGATGCTTACACTGCAGTATGTGAGAAACCAGCAGGGCGGCGCTGTTGTCATTACACGTTAAACTGCCGTTAGACAAGTCCTGTTTTATCTGTAAGGCAAAAAGATACCTGCACATGCAGAACAGCGCCACAGATTAAAGATGCTACAACATACATGCTAGCGTGTGGAACAACAACGACACCAAAAAGAAGGGCTCAAACAACGGCCTCTTTACCTTGTGAGGCCTCTCTTCAGCTGTCCAGGGTCTGGTGGGAAGAATTTAACGATAAACCTAAAGAATAAATCACTGGTGTCTGATGGAGGGGAGAGAAAATAAAAACTACATTTAGCTTCTTTGGTAGCAGAAAATGCTAATAGCATATGGCAGAAATGTCTCAACTTTTCAAAACAAGAGTCAAAAGACCTCAGGGGTCACAACAAAACAGAAACATGTTATTTTTTTAAATTAAAAAAGCTAATTTAAAGAGTGTTTTGTGAGTTGTTGCTTAGAATGCTGGCAATGATGTTTAATCTACCTCAGACTTCAAATTTTGATTCAAACGCTGCAAATTTTCACTTATTTTCCTTCTTTGGGACATTTACTGAGAACTAAAAGGACATTCTACATAGGGAAATGTCTCTCTGCCCTAATTGCTCTGTTAATAACAGAAATCAGCAGCTATCTGCGCTCTAATTGCTGCTCAGTTGCACTCCTGCTGCACTCTTTTATTTTTAAACACGGAGAAAATGACTTACATTTAATTTGTTTAACTAGAGGTTTCAGCAGCTCCAACCAAACCTGCAACAGAGACGCGTTTAGAGACTCTAAAGCATTCTAAACGTGTAAATGTGGGAGTTGTGACGTTTCTTACGTAATGGCCACTGGGGTGTCTGAACTCCAGTCCAAAGTACTCCTTCTCAAGCAGCTTAAGGTGACCACAAACCTTGTTGAAGAAGTCGCCGCCGAGAACATTTTGCTGAAAAAGGAGGATTAAAAGTGTGTGTTAGTGGAAGGAATGACTGGGGTTTTAATCTGGAAAAGACCTGCTGTAGGTCTAAATGTTCTCCAGTTATTGTTTGTAGAATAAAACCTTTAGGAGCTGAACTTGGACAATCCTGCGATCTCCCAGATTACCAGGACAGTGTTTGTGTGTTGTTTGCTTGCCATACTGAGTTTTTTTTTAGTATATCCTGTTTGATAGCCTGTGTTTAGCTCTGTAGCGTGGGTCACTGGAAGACTCTCATTAAGTTGTCATGAGGAGGAGGAAGGACACAGCAGCTGTTTCTGATTACAGAGAGAACAAAGTGATGATTAATGGAAACAAATGTCCATCCCCGGAGCAGCAGAGGCAGATTCGTCTGTAGAGTGTATGTTGTCTCAAAAATGAACACGACTTCAAACGTCTGTCAGAAATCATGTGAATTACAGATTTTAGCACTCTGGGGTTTTGTTGTGAACCCTTCCCGCAGCAATTGGAGCACATTATCAACAAAACGTAAGAAATTATAGCCAACTGTGCATCTGCAAATGTCGATGAGCTGTGGCGGCCATCTTGAATGTTGAATGAGCTTTAGATATGGGCTGCTCCTTGTATGGACCAGTCCTAGCCAGTCCACATGGGTGGGGTCCTTCCTCGACTGCCAAGACTGGAAGTGAGCAGCCATGAAACTGGATGGTCTATTTATGCCCGTCCTTACCTTAGCATATGTCCTGTCGCCTAGCAACTGTGACTGCTAATTAGAAGTGTAAACGAAACTTGGCTAGCCTAGATGTTTAGACCAACTGTAGCAGTAGTAAAAAATCTTGCTCTGCAAGAAGGTCTAGCCATGCTCCGTTGAAGCCTCAGCAGGTTTACCATTGGCCTGCTCAGCTTTGTGTCTCGCCAATTGGGAGCCTAAGTCACTTCCGCATCATGGGTCCGCGGAAGGACGAAAAAATTAATGCAAGTCAACGGGGCTAACAACGCTATCTTCTAATCCGCTTTGCCTTACACCCTGGATCGCACATATGTTGTACTGCAATTTAAATGAAAACTAATGATGGGTGTTTCAACCACGCCAGTCTCGGACTTTGAGATTTATTAGCTTGTGAAAGTTCGTAATTAGCATGACTACAAACTACAAATCGGCACGTCGCATATGTGACATCACCACACAATCTCCTCTCCTCTAACGTAGCTGCTACTTACCAAATGACCAGATTTGTGGTGGTTCTTTCCTCCTGTGGGAAGTTTGCTGAACGTACAGCCCTTTTCCTTCAGTTTTCTCCGTGTCTGGTTCGATGACGTCACCTTCGTGAAGCGCATTTTTAGTCCTAGACTTATTTTCACACAAAACCTAAAATAGTGTTTCCCCCTGTTCGAAAATAAGCACGTTCTTGGTATCAAAATGTGTCTTTAAAATTCATGGGCATCATATGTGAAATCCATGGCACAAAACAAGCGGAATCAGAAAATAGCATTTTTAGCCCCACTGACTTGCATTCATTTTTTTGTTCTACCGGGGACCCGTGATGCCAGAGTGACTTAGGCTCCCTATCACAGTGCTCTGTGTTTGTTGGGCAGTGTAGAAAAACTACAAAGATGGTGTTGGCTCAGTAACGACTTTGAAATAAACTTTAGAAGATTTAGACTTGACTTTTCTTTGAGTAATGATCAGAAAGAGGTACTTAAAGAGCAAGTCACCCCCAAATCACTTTTTTTTTGCTGATAAACTATATAAAGGAGTGTCTAATCGTGCTACAGACATGTGTTGTCAATAATTTGGCACTTCAGTGCATCTTAGTTAAAATTTAAATATTCTGCCTAAAACTGGCAGTGTTGCGCCGTCGTCAGGGAAAAATTCTGCACTGTATTTGAATTTAAATCTGCCACCGCTATTGGCTAAGAGGTATGCTATGATGTCATCTGGTATATTATGATGTCATAATGCCATTGTGAGCCTGTGTGTGTGTGTATTTGTTAGTGGCTCCGCCCTCTCGGTCTGCCAAGCAACAGCATTTGTTGCATTTTTCAAACATGAAGTGGGAGTGAAGTAAGTTTCTTGTAGGGGGTGACTTGCTCTTTAAGCTCAGTATTTTGAAAAATGATGTTTTTGCTTTTTGGCAGACTGCATCATTGACTGATTTACAAACCGACGAATAGGTCAGTCTTTTTGACTCTCCCATCTGGCAGGAGGCTCAGATCATATCGGACCAGAACCTCCCGCCACAAGAACAGTTTCTTCCCCGACAATCCTAGGGCTGCTCACTCCAGTCGTTTGGTCCCAGTCACATGACCTTGTGTTGTGTTTGTACCTGAACTGATCCGCTCTGATCAGTACCCACACTGTCTTGTATATAGAAGCGGTTTTTCTTAGTAATGCCACTTTATATTATTATTTTATCATGATTATATTCTTACTTCCTATATTTTCTCATCTCTTACTTTATCTTCCTTTTTTGCACCAAGTACCGCAGCGATTTCCTGATGTTGTGATTCTCACACATAAGGCAATCAAACCTTCTGATTCTGACTCACTGCTCTGACTGGTCCGACAGCTGATAACTCTCACGCTTTTGACTGTCTCCACACGCTGTCGCGCCACACCTCCAACTTCTAACGCTGAAAAAGCTATCCCCTACAACAAAATGCATTTTGTCAGAGCGGGCGTGGGCGGAGCTTCGCTGAAACAGACGCTATATTTCTGGGTATAAATTCAGGCTGATGAAAACAACGGTAAGCTTTGATCATGTACTGCGCCTAATGCTTTCAAAGATTTAAAATAACTTGATATGGAAACTTTAAGTTGGTCATTTATTTGCATTTTCAATGGCAGCCATCTTGCATGGGGTTGATAATGTGTATTTGTGAATAGGTTTGAGCACAGGAACACACTAAAAACATACGTTGGTTAATCTAGAGTCCTAGCCTGAGGACTATAAGGCTTAATGCTTCGGTCGTTGTGAAAGTAATTATCTCCGGTTGTGGTTATGCTTTCTTTTAAAACTCTGCATTAGATAGAAATCCTTTGGAGATCACCAGAGAAGTATATAATCACCACACTGGCTTTAGCTTTTGTGTAGTAACCAGATTTACCTCTGACTGAAAGAGACCGATAACAAAAACTCTTTATGGCTACTGATTTTGACCTAAATTTGTGCGTTCACAGTTTTATAATATTAGGAGTTTCTGTAATAAGAAAAAATGGCGACTATCATTTGTAGCTACAATAATAAAAGCCCTTTAGCTGATTATTTTGACATCAAACTTATTTATATGAGAGGAACTCAGACAGACGATGTGTTTTTATGTACATTATTTACGTCTGCTGTCTTTTCTCTCCATCCAGGGTGATTGTTAACTCTGTGTTTGCCCTGAAGGCTGGAGGATCGGGGTCAGAGCAGAGCACCTCTTACTGCTCCAGTATCAGATACATAAACCTTATTCTCAACTCATTCCTAGAATGTATCATTCTTGATTTCACTTTTTTAAGGTCTGCTAAAATTTAATCTTCAACCTTCTTAAAATAAACCCGAAACTGCTTCAGAAACATGTTACTATGAGAGTTTGCAGTGTGTTTGGTCTGTCCTCTTCCTGTTTATGCTTTATCTATCAGTGTATTTTTGGCTTCTGCTCTTCTGGCTATTCCTCCATCCACACATCTTCTTTCATGTTAGATGCTTCTAAAGACCCGGCGGCTCCGGCAGAATCTCCCTAGGAAAGGAGTCTGAGCGTGGAAAAGGGAGCAGCTTTGCTAACACAATACTGCGATGAACCACACTCTCATACAGACACAGGGAGATGGTTTAAAATGCCTCATGGGGGTCATCGCCGTGGTGACGACAGGAGCTGTTGCTCTTGTGTTTCCTGACCTGAATGGTCCCCAGCATGGGGAAAAGCGAAAGGCTTTTTCTTGTTTCTTTTTTTCTCACTTGTGAAACGTAAGTAGGGGAAAGGCTTGATTTTATCCTAAAGTTTATTTTGTTTTATTTTTTTTAGTTAACCTTCTTGGGACTATTGTCACAAGTTGGCATCAAAACACTTCTAGCCTTAACCTGACAGTAAGGGGTTTCCTGCTTCTCCTTCCTACTGGTTGAAAGTGGGATTACAACTGTCAGAAAACAGCCCTGCTACAGCCTGCCATAGCTAGCGCTAACAACAAGCTAACGCTAATGCCAGGGATGTACTTGCTTTATAGCCTCGCTTTGATGCAGGCAGTAGGCTGAGTCTTGTTTACATTACTGCTGTACTGCATGTAGAAGAGGTGTGACCAAGTCACTGCTTTGCAAGTCCCAAGTAAGTCACAAGTCTTTCCAGTCAAGTCTCAAGTCGAGTCCAAGTCAAAGACAACCAAGTCCAAGTCCTTAACTTTGAAATTTCAAGTCATAATCAAGTCTTCTGTCCAACTTCTATTTAATGACAATGCTAGCAAATAAATTCCATAAATAAAGCTTCTTATAGGTTTTAACTTACTTGCTCAAACAAGCAGAAAGTGCAACTGAAACTGATTATGAACAAGGTGCTGCTGCAGTTAGCCGTACAGGATCAAACCCAGAACGAAGAATTATTTATGCATTTTTTCCATGTCGTGCCACTTTTGTGCTAAAATATTAAATATGCTCAAGTCAACAGATGAAAGTAGATTCAAGTTGCAAGTCATTGGTGTTCAAGTCCAAGTCAAGTCGTAAGTCTTTATAGATTGTATCAAGTCAAGTCAGAAGTCATTAAAATAATGACTCGAGTCCAAGTCATGTGACTCGAGTCCACACCTCTGGCATGTAGTGTTCCACTAGGGCACAATAGAGAACTCAGGACAAATAGGCTCACGGGTTTATAGGGAACAAGCAAAACAAGCATGGCATCAGAGATGGGTAACTGGTAAATTTTGAGATCCCTACAGAAAAAAAGACAGCAGCTGGATCATATATAGTACGAAAGACCTCTAAACCAGAGAAATAGTGACAATGGTGATTATATTTTGCTTGTTTTTGTCAATT